GCTCAGAAACAGGCCCTGCAAGCAACACTCGCGGGTAGACTGCGGAATGCTTCGGATGCACTGGAGCGCTCCAGCCTTGTTCAGTGGAAAGGTCGCCAAGGCTCGAGCACGGACGCCAGGATGGCCGGTGGCTGGCGCTGGCACAACGCTGGTGCTTACCCCGGCTGACGCCGCCGCCATCGTCGTGGCGGCGGAGCTTGAGCTGTCGTGACGTTTATCACTGGCACGGACGGCTCCACCTTACCCATGCTTCAGGCCCAAGTGCACAGCACAGAAGTTCCAGCCACGGACCATTGGCGGAGCTGTGCACAAACTGCAGGGCCTCGAACCGAATCGAAATACATTAATGCAATGGGCAGAAAGCTGTCTAATGACCTCATGGACAAAAGGAGCCACTTCAGCCTGCAGACGTGGGTAAGCGAAGGTGCAAGCTGTCAGCGCTTTGGGACCAGGGCTGTTTTGTGATGTTTGCAACTGCCTATTCCGCGATCATCAACTCCCTAAGTCACTAAGATGTTGCTGTCGACCGTGCTGTCACTCGCTACTGTAGCTTTTGTCACACCGCGCGTAAAGGCAACGAAGTTCGTTTGGAAAACCAAGGCAGTCCAAGGGCCACGCCAGAGGCTCCGGGCTCGGTCTGCGCATGATGTCGACCTGATATCGCCTCGCTCCAACTTACAAGCGAGATTTGGCAGAGGAGGCAGTGCCGAACGAGACCCGAATGCATTTGAAGCCACTACTGAAGCCACAGTATGAGCTGTGCGAAAAGCGACATTTTCCTGCCAGGTTTTTTGGTAGGCAACCTTTGGGCGAAAACACCTCTGGGTTTGGGCATACTTGGGCCATTGCCGCTTTGCCCTTATCTGGGTGTGTCCCAATCCAGGCACCACCATGGAAGCCATCCGGCTTTCAGGGGCATGGCATCAGGAAACTCGACATACACCCAACCCTCTTGTGTCTGGCTATCCAGCCATACTTTGCAGAACTCCCCAGCATCCGCATCCACCTCTGCAGAATGGGTTGACGCCCAATCCCTCTCTATGTACATAAACCTCTGCGTTGCAGAGAGTTCCGAAAGGACTGAACGCGAAGCTGGTGCAGATGAAGCTGGCAGACGGTTCGCCTGCTCGAGGAATGGGTGCCGCTCTGCACTTACCGCCGGGAGCCGCAAGCTGCTTTCAAGCTGAAGCAACGACGCGAGGAACTCCACGGCTGGGCCATTCGGAGCATACAGCAACAACTCATGGAGAGAAGCATTCGCCAGGCAGGCCTTTGCTTTTTGCCACGAGCTGTCTGGACCGCAGGGGTCGGTGTCCCAACAAATGGGCTCACCGTTCAACAGACAAAAGCCACACCATCCCAGACACTACGAGTCCACCTTTGTGGCGCAATAGGGCTGGCCTAAGTAGATCTCCGGGGGGCGGAATTGCTTTGCCACCAGACCTCGATACTGGACTGGCTGCTCGGCTTCCTGTGCATCTCTTTGGAACTGCACAGCCTGCCCCGGATCGCAAAGTCTGAGCTTGTCACCATCGGCGTCAAGCAACATGTTTTCCAAGGAAACGTCCTGAAAAGCAATGTCGAGGTGGTGCAAGTGGCTTAACCCACGGGTCGCCTGCAACAGGAGACTTCGAACACGAGTTTCGGCCAAGCCGTAAGGATTGTCTTCCACAAGTTTCACCAGATCGCCTCCGGGGAGGTACTCGAAGACGCAATGCACATAGCCACCGTCATTAATCGTGTCCAAGAGGCTCAAGAGATTCTCATGCTCAAGAGCGAACGATATCTTGACTTCATTCAGTGGCACTTCGCAAAGACAATGCGAACGCATCATCTTGGACTTGGAATAGGTCTTAATACAATACTGCTCTCCCGAACTTCCTGTTGCACGATGCACCCAGCCATAGATCGTATTCGCCAGCCGTTCATGGAAGGAGTAGACGTCTCTGCCACAAGCTACCTGATTCATTTTGGTTCTAACCTCCCCCTGACATGACCTACCCAGCGTGGCTTTGAAGGCCCGCTCGGCAGCAAGCCATGGCAGTTCGTGTCCTGATCATCATTGGGCTCGTCAAGGTTGGAGCTCGCCGGCTCCGCATCACAAGTTACCTGCTTCTCTTTCGACTCTCGCATCGACAAGCAGGCGAGGCAATCCGGCATTGGTAGCTTCTCTTTAGTTCTGACCTCCCCGTGACAGTACATGACCTACCCAGCGTGGCTTTGAAGGCCCGCTCGGCAACAAGCCATGGCAGTTCGTCGTGTCCTGATCATCATTGGGCTCGTCGAGGTTGTAGCTCGCCGGCTCTGCATCATAAGTTACCTGATTCACTTCAGTTCTGAGCTGACATCACAAGACCTACCCAGCGTGGCTTTGAAGGCCCGCTCGGCAACAAGCCATGGCAGTTCGTCGTGTCCTGATCATCATTGGGCTCGTCGAGGTTGGAGCTCGCCGGCTCTGCATCATAAGTTACCTGATTCACTTCAGTTCTGAGCTGACATCACAAGACCTACCCAGCGTGGCTTTGAAGGCCCGCTCGGCAACAAGCCATGGCAGTTCGTCGTGTCCTGATCATCATTGGGCTCGTCGAGGTTGGAGCTCGCCGGCTCCGCATCAAAAGTTGCCTGCTTCTGTTTAGGTCTGACCTCCCCGTGAACTCACATGACCTACCCAGCGTGGCTTTGAAGGCCCGCTCGGCAACAAGCCATGGCAGTTCGCCGTGTCCCGATCATCATTGGGCTCGTCGAGGTTGGAGCTCGCCAGCTCTGTATCATAAGTTACCTGCTTCTGTTTAGTTCTGACCTCCCCGTGACATTACATGACCTACCCAGCGTGGCTTTGAAGGCCCGCTCGGCAACAAGCCATGGCAGTTCGTCGTGTCCTGATCATCATTGGGCTCGTCAAGGTTGGAGCTCGCCGGCTCTGCATCATAAGTTACCTGATTCACTTCAGTTCTGAGCTGACATCACAAGACCTACCCAGCGTGGCTTTGAAGGCCCGCTCGGCAGCAAGCCATGGCCAGTTCGTCGTGTCCTGATCATCATTGGGCTCGTCGAGGTTGGAGCTGGACAGCTCTGCAGCACAAGTTACCTGAGTGACTTTAGTTCTGACCTCCGCGTGACATGACATGACCTACCCCCAGCGTGGCGTTGAAGGACCCATCGGCAACAAGCCATGGCACAGAATTCCAGGCCTCAGAAACTTTCTTGCGGCGACCCAGGCAGTCGTCGCAAGTCGTGACAGTCGTGAGGAGGGCTCCCATTGCGACAAGCTTCTCAATCAAAATCGCGATGGTTTCAGTATCGAGTGTTAAAGTTGCCCAACACAACGATTCCCGCCTTTTGCTCAAGCAAGCCCCAAAATCTCTAATGCAAACAAGCTGACGGCTTAAGCCTTCAATGAATGCTGAGGGCGGTGAACATTTCAGAACATGTCTATCACCTCCAGCTTTAAAGACTTGAAACACTCTCACAGAAGCCGAAAGCAGCGGGAAAACGTTCAAAAGTTTCGCGGATCTGAAGTAGAGAACCATGTGACTGATGATTTTGTCACAGACCCGAAGAACACAAGCTATCGGCTATCGCTTGTTAACATAAATGCTGTGCTGTCGGGCGGCGCTCTTTCTCCCCCGGAGGAAACCCAAGCCAGCCAAACGTCACAAATAGAAAGATCATCCTGTGCTTATGTGTCACAGCTGCAAGTAGACATAAACATAGACATGCCTTCAAAGAAAAGCCGGGTCACGTGTCTATCAGGTTTGGAGCACACCCGTGCGCACACTCCAGAGCCATATTTGGCGCAATCAACGTGGACCAATGTGGTTCAAGCTCGCGACGACGCTAATCTGCAACTCGCTGGCGTTGTGGCTGCAGCTGGGACCCGCACCAGCCGCCCAGCAACAACAGTCTCCACGGAGACCTTGGCGACGAGTTGGTTGGATGTTGGGTCCGTCGGCCTACCTGTGTTTGACGGACAATCGTGTGATCTGGGTGTGCCTGGGCACCTACGTAGCTGTGTAGCACATCTACGTGACTTACACAAGTCATGCGCATCCTCGATCGTCTTCGATCCACTGTTGGCACAAATGGTGGCACAATATGCTGCCGTAGTCACAACACTCCGCAGGCAATCTCAACCAAAGCGTCAAAAACAACACAAAAGTCAACACTGTCAGAGCTGCTGACTGGCTTCGCAACACTATGTTCGATCCTCGACCAGCTGCCCATCTCCCACAACTCACATTAAAATGCATCTCGTCTGGAAGTTCGCTCCCAGATACAACGCAAAATGATAGACCCCAAAGGCCGGACTCTTAAAGCCTTACACGCTGAAACCTTGAATGCGGAGTCTTGACTGAGCTCAGACCCAAGCGGTTCAACCAAGAATCTTCGTACTCGAGCTGCGAATCCCAAGCTACTTAAAGCCTCAAGCCTTCAAGAACAACATCCCGAAAAACACTTGCCCTCTCACTCCCTCCTTCTCTCTTGGAGACTGCAGAAGTCAGCGTAAATGTTGCCCAAAACCCTCCAAGAATACACAGCTGAGCTTTCAACCGTGATACTTGTTCACGCAGCCTACAGCGGTCTGAACTGACCTTTGAAAGAGCTTCGGCAGGCAAGCACGTGACATGAGACTGCAGCAGCATGTTTTGGATTGCAGAAACCAACCTATCGCTCTGCTAGCAACTGGTTGCAATGACTTGCTGGTCTTACTCTGTTGCCTCCGGACAAGCCGCATATGCAAACAGGTCCTGGACGCGGGATCGGGTGTCTGCGTATTTCGTGAGCAATCGAAAGGAGGCATGCAAAGCACAAGTGCAAAATCGTGCCCCGTCCAAGCTCATGACGCCATGTAGTGCTCGAGCACGGCCTGTCCGCATCTTCTAAATCTGCTGCATACGATGTTGCTGTCTTCTTCAACAGCCAATGCGACCACCGACTTTTCGATCTCATTCGACGGGCATCGAAGATGCATGAGCGCGGTCCAGAAGGACGCACGGGCATCACCTGAATTCTGGTGCGGGGTAGACACTCCCGCTGCCTCCCATCAACTTTTTGAGCTTGTCCATATGGACAATGCAACAAAGACCCTGCAAGGACACTATGCCCTTGTCCTCGGGGTCGCTTTCCACCAGACACATCTCGTTTACCTCGAGACACTCGCGAGACATCAGGCTGTGGATCAGGTTTGCTTTGGTGCCTTGGAGACATGCCGCGGTGCGTTCCAATCGTGACGGCTCGGGATCAGCGCGGTCAAACGCAGACTCGCTGTAGAATTTGCCCAGTCTCCCAAAGACATGGTCAAAGTACTGCAGAAGCCCCCCTTGTTCAAGGACGAAGCGGCACGCCCCCACAGTGCCTTCCGTCATGACGCTCAGCTGCATGTTGTATGCCTTCAGGCCCGAAAACACGCTGTGCAGCTCGGTCATCGTCTCCAGTCCTGATGCCAAGAAACGCACTCCATCCTTTGCCCCCGACTTTTACTTGGCTATTTAGACAAGTCCTTCGCACTTGAAGACCGGGACAAGTTAGAGTTTCGCCAGCTCTCACCCCCAACCGCCAACCTCTTTCACAACACCTGCGCATGCCCTCTACGTCCTCGTTGCTGAGATGCAAGCATACACTCCACGTGTTTCGCCAACTATGCACGCTGATTCATGCCACGAGAGTGCTCCAAAACGCACCCTGGATCAAGATAAGCCCTCCCCGCCCCCAGCATCAACACCAGCACCGCCCAGCCATTCATGGAACCGCTTTGACAGCCTTCTCCTTCTCATTTTGTTTTGGCTTTTTTGGGGAAGAGGGCTTGTGTTGACAGAGGCCAGACTGCACAACACTATCCGAGACCTTCAATACAAGCCTTGAGGGGAGTGCAACAAAAGCGCGACATGTTTCGGTCACACGTCCTCCCAACACGCAGGCTGTCCAAGAAATGCCAGCAGCACTTGGCACCAAGCGGCCGGTGCTGGTATCGTAGGCATGCTTCGTCTCGTTGAGCATCTTTAAGCAATTGATTTGCTCACGCTCTGGCAAAGAGTAAAATCGAGCCATATTTGGCACTTGGCCAGTCATCTGGTGAAAGATGTGGACCCTGAAGATTGCCTGCTCGAAATCAAACACCGTGTGCTTCACTTGCTGCAAGCACGCCGTTCCCTGGATCTGCAGGGGCGCTGGCTTTGGCGCAGGTTGAAGCGCATCCTTTGCGCAGCGTCTCTGCACCCAAAGCGCAGGCGGCAACGCAGCTGCAGCCTGAATGATGTCTGGTTGGGCGAGAAATGCTTTGGCAGCAGATACTTCTGCTTCTTTCTCGCTGCCGCATGCTTGCCCGTTGACTGCAGCCCGGTTGAAAACTGGGGCCCACAATGTTGCTACGATTTCTCCCTCCAACGTCAGTGCCTTTGATCACATCGCGGCGAGCCCACCTGCCCAGAAAAGAATGAATGGTCTGTCTTGGAGGCCCGCAGGTCACATCCAATCCCACGGTGCGTGGCATGTCGTGCTCGCACAGACGTTGCTTCTTGCCCTTGCGCGGGGAGAAGAACATCTTCTGGCAGGCTTGAACACCCTCTTCAATGGCTGCTGTTTGTGTCAACTCGCAATTTTCACAAGCGAAACTACTGCGCGCGTACCTTAACGCAACAGCTGTGGGTTCAACAAGATTTAACTGCCCGAAGCTCACCGCAACGTTGCCGATCATCAACGAAGGCAGATTCACAATTCCCAACCCCGATGGCAGAAGCAGATGGATTCTTCGTGTTTCATCGATTCATCACAGGCAGGGCCAGATTCACAAGAAGCCGAAGGCTGAAGGTTTCAGCACATGGCGTTGACAAGCAAGCCAGGACATGGATCTGATGTTGTGCAGCTTGCCTTGAGCAGTTTGGACATCCTGCCGGCAGAAGTCCGCCATTCAGCATGCTCTGGGCTGATGTGATGCTCTCCTGTTCGGTTAATGTATTCGCAGCTGCTTCCTATTTGCAGCTTTATATGTAATGGAAATACATATAAAGCGAAAGGAAATATTCAAAGGGAATATATAAATGGAATTGATGCAGTCGCTCAACACTCGCTCCTTTTGTTCTCTGGCGGGAATGCAGATCGTTTTTGTCCGAGCAAGGAATGGACCTTGCAGTGAAACTGATCTGCATGTTTTCCCCCATCCGGTGAGATCGAGGTGCATCAAAAGGCACCGACCCGTCACCGATGAAGGAATGCAGAATGGTCAATCTTCTTAGAAGATGGCCAAGAAAGCTTCGCCTGATGTTGATGCAGACATCCACAGAAATGCAAGCAAGAAAGACCGCCACCAGAATGCAGATGCCAGCAATGTACTCCCCAATAAAAGGGAAGAGGTGGGTGGGACAAAAATTTTTGCCTGCGATGCAGGCGAGCTGGCAGCTGCGAGCCTGCTTGCTGCAATGAACATGGAATGTCATGAAATGCAGCAAGCATGCAAAACATTACCAAACACTCGTGAGCAAGCACACATACCGTTCGGTTAATGTATTCGCAGCTGCTTCCTATTTGCAGCTTTATATGTAATGGAAATACATATAAAGCGAAAGGAAATATTCAAAAGGAATATATAAATGGAATTGATGCAGTCGCTCAACACTCGCTCCTTTTGTTCTCTGGCGGGAATGCAGATCGTTTTGTCCGAGCAAGGAATGGACCTTGCAGTGAAACTGATCTGCATGTTTTCCCCCAAATGCAAACTGCCAGAGAACCGAAGTCGCGCATCAATTCCACCAAATGAAAAACGTGCGACAAGGTGATTAGAGTGCTGCTCCCAATGGAGAAACACTCGGAACTCGAAAAGGAGGCTTCCAGCCCTCCGGAGAAAGTGAAATGGAAGGCGATGCCGTCCATAACGAGGTTAAAGGAATACGTCGACGACGCGACATGCTCCATCGATCCGGCAATGGAGCAGGAGGAAGCCAACGGCTCAAAAAGTCCGCTTCCACATTCTTAGGACCTGCGATGTGATGCACATCAAGATGCACACCAGTAAAGCTACTCAGAATGGCTAGTCGCTGCACAAATGCAGCAAGAGGCCATGAAGTCGTAAACAGTTTGTTTGCTGTGGCCTCGGCACCACTGTTGTCACACCAGGAATGCATGCGAACAGAAAGCTTGCATCCTGGGTTAATAGCACTCAAAAGCCAAACTAATGCAATCTGACCCAGGCATTCGTAACAAGTAATGTCCTTGTGCGCCTCGGACTTAAGAGGAAGTTCTGCAAATGCAAAGTCCTCCACAGTAAATCTCTCAGAGAACCAGAATTCCCCAGCCGGTAAAGCAATGTAGCCGCCAATAGCAAATGTACGGCCATTGCCCATAGCATCGGCGGCAGCCTCCACCATTATAGTGTCAATTGGACGAAGGGATCGCCAGATAGGGGGCAATGAAGACCACTGCAGCCAGAAAAACAATAAGTTGCGAGAAGCTGGGCTCAATGCACGGCGTTTTGAGGCCGAGTCAGCAATGCGAAGCCAGATATCCTTATCACCAATGTTGCAAGACAAAAGTTCGCGCTTGGTGCTAACTTTGCGATGTCGCACTGCAAGCACCTTGCTGCCCACTGTAATGGCGGATCCAGTGGGTAACCTCACAAGATGCAAGGTATCATTGAGACATGAAATGAAGGATTGCCAGTCAGTTTGACGAACACTGAAGTTGGTTGCACGAGGAGTGTTGAGGTCCTGGTAAAGTGACCTGAGCCAGGGCCTGGCCAATGGAAAAAGCTTGAAAAGCCATTGCATCATGCCACACAACTTGCTCAATGTAACACGATCCGTGTATTTACCACGGAGAGCAGTGACTATAACTGAATGCAATCGCTCCAGCTTGTCAGACGGAATGCAAACGCACCCCATGCCAAAATCGAGCTCCCACCCTATCCAGCGGATGGAGCAGCCGAACTGCAATTTCTTCCACGACAAAGGAATGGAAAAAGCACCACAGAAACAGAGGGTAATGCAAAAACTCATCTCCGCCACCGATGCAGATTGGAAGCCAAGTAAATCGTCCACGTACATGGCGAGGAAATGAGCAATGAAAATCAAGCGATGCAGTGTCCGAACAAAGAATGCACCAAGTCTAGCAAACCAGAAAGCAGAAAAAGCAGCACCGAATGGACACACTGAATAGAAATAAAACTTGGGGCCTACCCGGATGCCGAGGAGGCCCTGCTCGGACTCCCGAACCATAATGGACTTGTGTGCAGCTTGCACATCCAGCGACCAAGCGGCGAGTGGTTCATGTTTCCCACGCAAAGGCCATGAAGTCTGTATAGTCTGTAAAGTAGGGAGTGCAGACCGCTCAGGAATAAGGCATGATGCATTTGTACCACAAATGGAGGAATCCACCACGAGTCGCGGTTTACGGCCTTCGGAATGTACGATATTAAGCTTGCCCACCGCAACATTGGGCCAGATCTGGCGTGCAGCTTCCAAAGACTCAATGCATCGCAGCCAGCCTTTGTCCACCTCGATTTGGACAAGTTCTTCGAGGAGGACCGGGTCGTCCTCGGCTCCCTGCCAATTTTCTTCACATACGGTCAATGCATCATCAGAAGCAGTGCGACCTGAGGGAGCGAAAACCCCCGAAAGGGGGATGTCGTGTTTGAAGCCAGTGGGAACCCCACTGAGCAATGCATTGAAAAGAGTCATATCCGCATCCTGAAGTGCCGAGGATAATGCAGACAGAGCATTCAGGCAGTATGGCTGCCCATCCTTAATGGACCAGTCGACATCGGAACCCCCCTGAGACGCCAACCAGGTACAAAACAACCCACGAATTTCGCCAAGCTCAGTGTCAGAGAACAGATGAGCCTCAGAAGGATGCAAAAGCTTATGCCGCAGCCTGGAAGGAATGCATGCCTTGCCACACCAGGTAATCAATGCATGACGAAGTGATTTGAAAATGTCCTTAGTGGAGCGGTCCTGGCCACTCCAGTCCGGGCGGCTGTTTAGGCCACCACCATCCACCCAAGCATGTGGTGAAGCATCGCACTGTTTGACCGGAATGCAGGACCAGGCCTCATCGATGGAGAACTCGCATTGACCTGAGCATTTGCGAAGGTTGGATATCAAAAGTATGTCGCAAAGTGCATCCACGAATGCAGGAGGATAATCAGAGATCGTGGAGGTCGCACTGCATCTACTACAACAGCATAGGTGCCCCAAAGCAGAGAAAGAAGGCGACGAAGAGACCATGATCCAGGGGCTACCACCAACCCCCTTGTAAGCACATGCCGGTACCTGCACAATGTTTTGAAGGCCGGTGGAAATGCAGTGTAGGAATGTTGATCGGACCAGCATTGGTTCCAACCAGAAATGTCAAAATGCCCCGTTGCACCTGCAGAGTGTGCCACCTTGCAAAGTTGGAGCACCCAACGAGTGTGGCTCTCGCTCCAGTGGGGTGAATAAACCAGAAAAATGGAGGCAAATACACCCTCACCCGCACAACGAAAAATGCAGTTTCTGGCATGTTCCTGATCCAGAGACTGAATGCAAACATGAGGAACTCCAGCAGTTGAGAGGCCAGCACGAAGTACCTCAGAATGTTGTGAAGCCAGCAAAAGGCAGAACTTCTTCGGAAGAACGGGCTGAGGCAGTTCGACCGCCTGAGGTTGAGGCATCCGACGAGGTAAGGATTCGCCAGGCAGGGGAAACCCCCACATACGCAATGCATCAACATCTGATGACTGAAATTCAGCTAAACGCCTGCAGGTGTAGGCCGTGATGACCCACCTGTCGCCCCTGAAGGGCTCAGTGGCGTGCCAAAGACCACCATCAAATGCAAGGGGAGAAGACCTGGTGTCAACCAATGAAAAGTTGATGCACTTCTGTAAGGCTTCGACACGCAAGGATTTATCGCCCGATGAAGATTCCAGCAGTAAACCTCCGCCCGAAAAGTCCCCCAGGGCAACAGTGTAGTTGAGGGTGCCGGGCTCGTTGGATGTATCGCGATGAACTTTTAGCACCTCGTTGTGAGAGATGCATAGAGAAGTCCATGTACCCAATGGAAAGAGCATGCATAACCAAGCATTAAGTCGGCACAAGATGTGCTGGAATTGGAATGTATGATGTGTCAATCCAAAACGCACCGACTGCGAGAAACCACCGAGGTTAAAGTAGGCGGCCTCTGCACGGTCCCCCTCAATAGCCTGCCATCTGTACTTCACAGTTGTGGATGTAAAGGACTGCTGAAGCAAGTCAAGAATGTCAGCATCAGATGTAGCTGTATGACCTGCCGATGGAACAGGTGAGGGTGCATGTGTTGAAAGCCCGGAAAACTGTCCCTCCACAGGTTTCGGGCTGTTTCAGGACTTGTGCATGTAAGCTGGATGATCCTTGCCGCAAGGTCGGCCGCCAACGTCAACAGCACAACCATGTACGAATGCACAGTCATCCAACTTGCAACCAGAGCGAAGGTTCCATCGCTTGCACATCTGCTTCTGTACCCCGTTCTCGTAGAAGGAAACCATCCACTTGGGGCCACCCTGGTCTTTGCCGTCCTTGGACTTACCATGTTTGCCCT